TTAGCTCTGCCTTGAAATGTCAATACAAACAAAGAAAACACTAGAGAGCAGTGCTACTAGTACTACAGGTTGCACAGTTGTGACTTTTTCTTTAAAAGAAGGGATTCAATGAGCCCCTTTTCAAGATTTCTGGACAGAATTGGACAGACATGGACTAAAATTATCATTAAACATAACTTTAAATAGGATAATCTTAAGAACCTTAAGAAATGCAACATAACCCAGTATTTACTGTTTTGGAAACAGGGTGAATACTATTTAATAACATTTAGAACTGTAAATAAAAACCTTTTAGAAACAGCTTCTTATTTTTGACATTTGTCAAATAAAATATCACAAAATGGATATACATTACTTCAAGTCAAACTGTTTGGTCTAGAGTACATATTTGACATTTCAGAGCTCATTTCGATCTTGATTTCTAGCCAACTCCTTGTGTGCAGCGTCGCTGATGTTTTTAGCTGCTCTTATAGCTGATTTCATAGATGTCTCAATCCAAGCATGAGGGAAAGCTGTGTGCTCCCCAGCAAAGTGGACCCTGCCTTCACTTCTGAAGAGCTCCTTTGCGTACTCTATGTGTTGGTACGGCGCGAAGAAAGCAAAGCCACCCAAGCTGTATGGATCAATGCCCCACCTTTTCACCACAACCCCAATGCAGAGGTCCCACACCTTCTCACCATGAATCTTCGCTAAATCTCTCAATGCTAGCTCTTTAAGGTCTTCATCGGTTGCAGCTTGTAAAAACTGGGCGTCATCAGCCCAGGTGTAGGAAGCCAAGAGGACACCAATTGTTTGATTTCTTGGGAAAGTGTGGCTGGGGTAGTAGATGTAACGAGAGGGCCGGTCTGTGATACTCTTTCCTCCATGGATCCCATCATCCACCCAGAACTTCCTCTTGAAGGTGAGGATGATTTTAGTGGAGCATTCATAGTGGACAGCCCGCAATGCCTCCATTTTCTGGATGGAGAGAGGTGGGTAGAAATCCAGGAAGAGGGCAGCTTTGGCTGTGGTTGTTACTAAGACGGCATCACCAGTAATGTATGTCAAAGCTGACTCGCCCTTTCTTCTATATGACACAGTTACACCCTCATTTGACTGGCTGATGAATTTGACTTTGGAGTTGAAGAGGATGGGGGCATCAATGAAAGAGAGAAAAGCTTTGGGGAGGAGATCTGTCCCACCAGTTATTTCATCATACCTTAAAAAACAAACAAACAAATGTTTGTGAATGTCATACAGCCTGAGCCTTTGTACAGAATCAGTGACCTTAGGACCATGCAGTGGTGATATAAACAGTTGGATTTAAGAGGAAATTAGTTAGTAGTCAGCATTTAGGAATAGGGGAACATTTCACTACCTAGATGTGTAAGTAAATTATATTTACCATCACATTTCTTCGTTATTAACTTACTTTGATGTTACCCTATTCATGTTAAATTTTACAGTTGTAGTATTTTGTGGTGGGTGTATGACAGAGACATGGTTATAACCTCATATTTGTTTCCAGCTTGTTTGTTTTTAGTTTCAAATGTTACATATACAGCAAACTGGTTGCTTCCTTTGTGATTAAATGTTATAACATTAAACTAAGTGAGTAGCTGATATGAGTATAATTTTCAACAGGAATTGGGAGAGATTCCCTAACCCTTTAAAACCGGTCGGAGCGGGCACGCTTCGTTTTGC